AGGGATGCACTCAAAGACACCCGCAATGGGAGTTTCTCATAAGATTATGACAAACATGTTTCTGAAACATTGTCCATGGGATTCCTAAACGTCTCAGAAAGAAACAACACATTGTTTCATTTGTTTTTGAGTTGGAGTGCGCCGGCTCCTATCCAAGATTCCCCCCCCCCCCCCCGCGGACAAAGACAGAGGCAGAGACGCAGGGCACGGGCACAGACAGGCCTATGTTGCGAAGCACTGACGTAGCAGGCCTGTGTACTACTCACGGACGCATTTGCCGACAATTCCTGTGACTTACAAGGCACGGAGTGTGTTGTCCATGTGGAACGGGAGTACTGCACATGCTCAACAAACATTCTTGTCACTTGAGTTGTGAGGAGGAAAATCAAAAACAGTCTCTCCCCTCAACTGGCTGAAAGCAGCCTCCGAATGAGTGCACCGTTGTGCCGGTCTTGTGCGAGCTACTTTTTGAAGTGCCCAATGCTGCACTTTCCGAGTCTTGAGCTTGGGGCAGCAACCTGGGGAATTCTCGGGTCGATGCCAGGTGAACAAGTGGGATGTCCACCTTGACCGCCGAAATGGTGGGCGGATTGGCTCGGGCCCTGGGCTTTTCGTGTGACTTCGCCAAAAGCCCTGGTCAGCAGCCAAAAACGCCTTACCGCACCATTGGGCGGTCCTTGTGCTTTCCCTGCTTGAGCTGGACATGCAGGTAAGCAACCAGCTCTTAACTCTTTTGGACACTTTCAAAGTGCATTTTTCTTTGCACCCTTGCTATATTTCTTTGCCCTCCCAGGCGTACTTTTGAGCAAGGCGCATATCCGCTGTTCGATGCCCAGGTGTTGACATCATCCGGGAGTTCGACGGCTCATTGGCTGTGGCCAGAATTGAGGAGCAGAGCCGGGGAGCGGATGGGGTCGGAGTACAACTGCTGCTGATGTACGCAATATACTACAGCTTAGCATCTTCGGATGGAGGAGACCCCAGAAATACTGGGAGAAACCACGCAGCCACTAGATTTTGCCCATCAAAGCTGCTTAAACAACCTCCTGTGGCTTCCTTTGAAAGGGGGCTTGACTGGTTGTTTAAGCAACATCTGCCCAATGCTTCCTTGGCACACACTAGCATACACAACCGGAAGTTTGGTACTCTACAAGAACATGACGGTCTCCCTCGCGGTAGTTTGCAGTCCATGTCAACATTTGACAGAAACTAAGCTGTGACCCTGTCACAGGGCTGTAAAGTGGGTCGCATGGTGGTGTCGTTTTTCTCTTGATCAAACTCTCATGACCTCTTGCGAGAATATGCTTCTTGCCTTCTTCATTCTTTCCGGATTGGTTGCATTGGGGTTGCTAGAAGGGATCTCCGGCCTTCACCCCGTTGCTCCTGTTCTTGAGCAGTGATGTTCGTGGGTCAGGAACCAGAACCAACTTTTCTCAAAGGATGTCCAGTGGCAGTGTCCGCAGCTTTTCCTTAGATGCAACAGGTGACTGCTCGAACATGGAAAGCTTGACCTTTGATTCCAGGGTTGAGGTGCTTGCCCCCACTCCCTCCCTCCTACTTCTCCTTCCAGCCGGCGCCCGCCTCTCCCCAGGACGGTGGGCTGATGCATGCCTGGAACAAGTCCCACCCCACGGAGGAGGTTCAGCCTGGGGACCGCTTCGCTGAGGCGCGGGTCGGGTTGTGTGAACAGCCTCAAAGCAGTACGGCTATGTCTCAAACTGCGGGGAAGCGCCAAAGTGGGCGGTTTGCTGTTGAAAGCAACCCCCCAAAAAAAGATACACCAATTGTAGGGGGGTTGGGGCCTTTGAAAAGTGTCAGCTTGCGGTGTGCTGTTCCAGCCAGCCAGCGGGCAGGAGAACAATTGGCATGTTTTGGCAAGCACACACAGACACACCTCCATAGCTATTGGCGGCTTAAGGGCCTTCATTTGGATCGTGATCTCTTAGCTCTTCAAGATGGGCTGGGGCGGCAAGGGGAGGGGTCACTGGCATCACCATCACCATCACGGTGTTGGCGCGGCAGTTGCAGAGGCTGCTCTGGTGGGTGGAGCTGCGGTGGCCGGAGCAGCTGTGGCCACTGCCGTCATGGCACCTCGGAGACCACCTCCGCGAAGGGAAGTTATTGTGGTGGGTGCCTCGCCAGTTGTCGCTGCTCCTGTGGCATCAACTCCAGCACCAGCTGTGGTCGTCATAGAGAAGGGCAAGGGCAAAGGCAAGTGGAAGGGGAAAGGTGCAGCTCCAGTGGCAGTGGAGCTGCCACCGCTTGATGTATCTGCTGTGGGAATTCCTGCATCGGCTATAGAGCAGCGCAGTGGAGTGACCTACTTTGGAATCGATGTGGTTCCAGAGAAGGGCGCCTCGTACCGGGTGCAGAAAAGGTACAATGAGTTCGAAGTGCTGAAATCGCAGCTTGGCAGGATGGCTCCGGGCGCCAGGATCGAGGTCGACTTCCCCCCGAAGCACTTCTTCAGCTGCGAGGGCGCGAAGCTGGAGGATCGCCGCTACGGCCTCGAAAGATGGCTGAAGCGCGCGCTGAACGACCCCAACAGCCGAGGAGTTTGGTGCCTGCAGCTTCGCGGATTCCTGGAGGTTGGACAGATTCACACGCTTCCAGCCGCCGCACCTTATGCAGCACCCGCACCTTACACAGCACCTCCACCTTATGCACCTGCACCTGCGCCAGAGGTCGCCTCAGCTCCAGCCGAAGAGCCAGAACAGGTGGGTACCTGTCCAAACAGAGAACCCCCCAAGATTGCGTTTGCGTTTGGTTTTCCTTTACATCAACACCCAAACTGGCTCGTGAAAGGGGACACCCCCAGGTGCTGCAGCTGGTGATCCCCGCCGGCGTCAGCAGTGGCCAGGCGTTGGCTGTGAATGTGCCTGATGGGCGGCAGCTGACAGTGGCGGTTCCTCCAGGCTTCTCACCCGGGGATGAGCTGCAGGTACACTTTGACCCAGCCACAGGCATCTTAAGCCCATTGGTATGATGTGTACACAAATCTTTTGTACAGTCGTGACACTCATGGTTGCTCAGTGCTTCCTACGAACCTTCGCCTTGCACATAGCCTGGGCCCTGATTGGGTGTGTGTGTGTGTGGCGGCTCGTTGTTGGACGGGAGTCACATGTCTTGATTTTTCATAGAAAATTATCAAGACAACGCTCAGATTGGGCCTCAATACGATTCAGTGCCCTCGAGGGCAATGGCGCAGCATTGCTATGGTGCTCTTTAAAAAAGATAACGCACACACACATTCATCTCTAGCAGGCAACACGCAAGTGGGCGCTTATCCTAATTCCCAAATTCGAGCCAACCTTCTCTCGGAGTGGCGCAACCACTCTTGAAGAGCTAACAACATGAATTTCGGGGAGATTTTGGCAAGAGGTTCATGGCGTGAGGCGCACCCACAGTGCGCTAGATTCGCTTTGGGGCGAGCCTTGGCCTTGCATTGCCAGGTGAACGGCAACACAGACTCGCTGGCGGCCGAGTGCAGGAAGCTGCAGGAGTTAAAGATCACGGTGTATCGAGCTGCCGGGAGCTCAAGTGCGGAGTGCGGGCGTAAGGCTTCACCAGCCGAGTTGGAGTTGGGGGGGGGGGATGTACTTTGTTGGCACTCCCAGGATGAGTTGGATGTACTTTTCTGGCACTCCCAGGTTCCTGACCGAGATCCCTACGTTGAAGCCAAGCGCATCGACATGCAGGCTTGCTTAGAGAAGTTCTATGGCCGCCATCCCGAGTGGAGGCAAAACGCGGGCCCGGCCTGCTTTAAAGAGAACCCCCCAAATTGCTCTTACATTTGATCGGAGCGCCGAGAGATCAGATGATGTGCTCGAGTGATTTCTTGATGCTCCGGGCCTTGGTTGCTACCGGGGAAGTCTTTCGGCTGCAGGTGTGAGCGCATTGGCACTCGTGGGCAGATGCCAGGTGTTGTGCATTGGCGACGCCTGCACTGAGCAGCAAGCCATCAAAGAGGCCATCGAATCGAAGCTGCGAGTGCAACCATTGACCACTGCTGAGGGGTGTATCCAACAGATCAAGGTATTGGTAGGGCTGGTGGTGGTGGTGGTGGTGGTGGTGGTGGTGGTGGTGGTGGTGGTGGTGGTGGTGGTGGTGCTAGTGCTGGTGCTGGTGCTGGTGCTGGTGCTGGTGCTGGTGATGGTGATGGTGATGATGATGTGGTGGTGATGAACTCTTGACCCGTTGCCAAGCATGCGAACTGCGGCAAAACTGCGGGCTTCGCAAATTAGTGCCGCTTATTTTCTCGGCTGATCCAGGAAACTAACAATATTGCCTCGGGTCTACAGCAGAAGCAGCAAATTCCGAGAAGACACATTTCTGGGAAGCATTCATTTTTAGGTGTTCGGCGGGCTAAATGACTGAATGTGACTAGCGGACCAACATCCCGATGTAAATAATATCCACCCATCCGAAATATCTCTTGACCAGGTACTTCTCATGCTTACAGTCGAAATTCAGCCTGGAAGCCAACTGCTGCAAAGACTTCGTTGCAACCAACAGAACTCTCGCATCAGCTCCCAGATCCACGCAGTTGCCAATTCTAAGCAGCTCAACAGATTTTCCTCAGGAGACTTGACTTGCCTCAGTTGCTAGCTGAGGCCCAGATAAATCCAAACATCATGTCTCTCTTACAACTTGTTGAACGGGCCAGTCAGGAGAAAGGTCGCGCGAATTCCGTCATGCAAAAAGCATCCGCAGGCAGCAAGCGCCCCAATGCGCGTAGGAATCTTCTGGGTTTCCGCGATGTATTGTTTGCCCAAAGTCGGCGTATGGCTGGCCGCTTTGAAGGTGCTGGCCAATGTGCCTGGGGCTGAGTCGGCGTTTGGCCTCCGTCGATTCGCAACTCGTACTGGAGCCGAGGCCAAAGGTGCAAGCGCCGTTGTGCAAGACGGCGCGCGCCGTGTGTTGGGTTGGGATGGGGCACCCCCAAAACAGGGCTTGGCAAACCAAGAGAAAGACACAGTGAACCGCTCAAAACGACATTTCATGCTGATTTTCTTTTTTAGGCTATCATTTAGACCCGGAAACAATGCGATTTGCAACTAAAGCTTGCTGCTCTCTTCAGTGATCAAGTTTGAAGCGTGGCAGGTGAACCTGATAGATACGCCCACAGTTGAGCAGCTGAGCAACGAGCTCCGCATTCTGCTGGCGGGATGCATCGGTGGGCGGTTGGGATATCGCTTCCATGCTTGAAGCCCACAGTCAATCGCACTCACTGCGGAAGGCTTGGGACTTGTTCTTGCCAAAAAGCTGCTAGCAATGCTGGCAAACCAGCAAGGGTCGACGTTTGCGTGACAGGTCTGGTTGAACAACATGGTTCAGTACCACAAGGACTACACTTTGAAGCGGAGATAAGTTGTTGGTTTGCCAATCAAGTCCGCGGTTGCCATGCCAGGACTTCGACCTGTTTATGGACCAGCCGGGCCCCAGACTGGTGGCTTGGGGAGGGCATGGCAAACAAGCACTACTTTTTCCTGGGGCTCATCTGTCAAACATGTGTGATCGTGTGCTTTAACCTGCCGGGTACTTTGCCCTGGCACATCACAAGGGAGCGGTCGCCTTTGGTGTTTTTGTCGTGGTGCAACATCTTTCTCGTTTTAGGCCTTTGCCGGCAGGGTTTAATTGTTAATTGGGGCTATCCTATGAGAAATTGTGCTTGGCATGAGGCTGGATGACCTGGAGGCAGAGCTCTTTAGGGCTTGAGTGTACATTTAGACCTTAGCTTTGAAACCTCGTTTGCCGCGAAAACAAAAGAGTGTGGCGTGCGCGACGTGTAGCCACTGATCTGGGCGATGCATTCCGTTTTGGGTGTTGATCCCTTGGAGCCAGCGGTCCGTTGGGGGATCCGTTGATCCGTGGATTCGTGAGGTGCTTTGTTGGGTCTATTGGAATGTTGATCCTGCCGGACATGAGTCTTTTTTTCTTAACAATCTGATTGTCCGTTCATGTTTTGTGCGCCGGATGGCTCATTGATCCGGTCTTTCATCCGTTGGTGTACTTAGCATGATGCTTTTGGTGGTGCAAGACAGCACAGGCAGCAGTGTGGCGTGCGCGTGTGCATACGAGCTTCGTATTTGTTGCGTGGTGGGTGAATTGTGTTCCAGGTGGTGGGTCTGAACAGTTGTTGTCTATTGGTTTGCTAGTCGGCCTGTCTGCGTGTCTGTCTGTCTGTTCGTCGCAAGAGGCGCTGCACACTTCGCAGGCTTGGTGGTGGAGTCTGGCACCGTGTGCATTTACATTTGTTGTATGCAGGTATGTGCGAGTTGGGTGGCAAGCGGCAAGAGTGCTCAGGTGGCCAGTCAAGTCTACGCTGGGCGGAGCCAATCCAACCGGATGGTCGTTGGTTGGTTTCTCCATTCACTCCTTGGTCCATCCTTGTCGCACAGTTGATTTGTTGGATCTCCTGATGCGTCCGGTGGATGCATTAGGCTGTCGGTTGGTCTGTTGTAGCAGAAGGTTTGGGCTGAGAGGCTGCCTCAGCCCGCTCCACCGCATCTAGCCTTTGGATGAAGATGCACAGCCGCATGAGGGTTTTTTCAAGATGACACAAGCGCGAGAAGTTGATGGAATTAGAGAACCTGTGGAATTAGATTACTTGAACTTCAGCGTGTTTTGATTCTCAAGTTCTTCACCAGGGCGGGAGGCTGCGGGGAGACGCTAAGCCGAGCCGCCGCCATGGCGGCCTGGGTGACCGACCAGCGTGGCGAGCAAACCGCGTGGGGCGCGCAGCGGGGATTGCTCGGTGCGAGCGCGGATTCGGAGCTGGCTGTGGGTCAAAACCAAGGGGATCCCATTTTGGGGTTTTTGGTGCACCAGCCATTTTGGTCTATTTTAGTGGGGATTGGGATGTTCACTGGGGGTACGGGATTTTGACCCATGGCCAGCTCTTTCCAGAAACCCGAGTTTGATTCCCCTAGTGAAACACCAACAGGACCGCATGACTTGCTTGCCACATCTGCGTCTGATCCAGCAATGTTTCGGGAGTCGATCAGTGTTCTGATTCTGATACAGTAGTGCTCAGGAAGTTTTGCATGATGATCATTGGCATTGGGTACCTCTTCCCGATTGCGGCTATTTGGGCTGCCTTTGATTATTGGAAGGCGCGGTGACCGAGCATCGAAGTTGACTTCGATATGATTCGCGTGGAGCAGGTGATTTCGAGATGTATTTTGTTGGAGCCCCTGTATAAACGCGACTGTTGATGGGGTGACATGGGGACACAACATTTCGGAGGTCAAATGCCGGAAAGGCTTACCCAGGAGGGGAGCGATATGGAATTGAATCAGGTGCAACCTTTCTTGGGATGGTTTTCAAAGGCGCACCTTCCAGATGGCGGTACATGTTGACACACGCTTGATATGGCTCGATTTGTTGTTCCCTTTCTGACCTGAGCTGACAAGGGGTGGGGGGGTGGCGGGGGCTGGTTTGGATCCAGATTGTCATGTTCCTCAGCCACCAGAGCTTCGCATGTTCATTACAGGTCCT